AAGTATGTAATATGGGCTTAAGCCCATAATGCATAATGGTAGTAGCATGAACCGGATGATAGTTACTGGTCAATTCAATTCAATTATCATCATCAATATTTATTTATTGAATTAAATAAATAAATAAATAATAAATAAGGCATGTGTGATGCGTCTCTTTTGAGCTCATGTGTGCCCATGTGGTCTTGCATGTGCATATAATTTCTTTTTGTGTGTCAATTTATATAGACATAGCCACACCAATATTTATTTTAATTTGGCATTACTCCTTCTACATAATTGAAATTATACAATTTATTAATTAAAATTTATGATTAATCGCAACGCAATCCAAATAATTTAATTTTGCACATCCATAGAGCCCAAAATTACTATTGTTAAAATTAATACTTCGTATGCAGTCTTAAGCGTACTTTTTCTTCTTCAAGTTTTTTTTCCACCGAAAACATTTTCAAGAAATCAGATTTTCAACTATAAGGTTATTTTGTCCCTCTAATTATGGTTATCTGCATTTATTTTGTGCTACTTTATGTGAACGAAACAAAAAATAATAATAATTGGGGTGTTGCCCTCAAACTCTCGTAATTACTGGCTCTGGCACTGACTGTAGTGGGCATTTTGAACTCATTTAATGGAGAGAATTCAAATTTATTTGAGTTGTGTATTGACAAAGTTATAAGACAAAGAAATTAAATGTAGTTGGGTACACCTAAAATTAGCTCACTCCTTTGAAATTTCTTTGCCCAAAGTCTTAAAAGGACAAGGGGATATCAATGCATGTATGTCTTCCACCATCCGGACCATCATCGTACACTTTCATGTGCATCAAATAACTTGATGTCCCATGTCGATTTTATGATATTTTCGGAGATACATCCAATTATATTTTTAATATCGTGATGTAGTAATTTTATTTATACATTTTAGACACCAATCATTAGATTTAATATACAGTAGAATCTCGATAAATTAATAAATAATAATTTTTTCAGTCCCAATTCGAGAAGAACGTGTTAAATGAATGTTTTGTTAAATTAACAGAATTTTGCTGATCTCGATAACTGTATATTCATAGTGCATACTATTGTAGAAGTTTAAAGAAGTCAACTCTAAGGTCAAAGCTATGTATAGTTAATTGTATAATGAGTCTCTAAGGTGTATTAATTAACATTATATGACTTTTGTAAGTTGAAGTTAAAGTAGGCATTGATAGGTATTTAACCTAGATAATTAGGTAAGATTAAGGTAGTTGTAATTATATAGAAAAAGGGACTAATGATGACATATTGTACGTGCAACTATCATTTTCTAATGGAATTTTTTAAAAAAATATTGTGCTTTTGGAGATTTAATTTGTGGTTAATAATCAATAACTAAAAACGGTAACTCAATCGAAATTAAACGGTCCAAATTCAATCAACTGGTATAAGTGGCTCAAGAAGCTTAATCGGGCCAAAAAATGGAGCTTCAGTCAGTTGGCTCAATCCTTGAATACAATTGGCACAATTTTAACCTCATACTTTATTTTATTTATAATTTACAATCTTAAATATAAAAATAAATTTTGTGACTTTGAATTGTATCTTATAAACATCAAGGCCTCTATTTAAATATTTCATTTTTATATAAAGAGTTAAAACTTATTTTACTTATGGGGTCCTCGTAGAACATTTGTCGGCCTTGTCGACTAGATCTGCATCTAAATCAACCAAGTCCTAATAACTCGACGATACTCCCTTAGTTTTATTAAGTAAGTAAATAGTTACATTATCTCGATTTTAGTAAGAAAAATCACACGATTCGAGCTTTTCACTTCATTAATCTGTTAATAATGTTGTTATAAAAAAATCGAAAACAATAAATTTGGCCCTAACACGAAAATTATCGAACGAGCGAATGTCACTTAGCCCGATTTTTATTTTTTAAACACCACTTAAAAATAAACAAAGTAATTAATTAATACACTCAATTAAATGAAATTGCAAATTCCCATAAACCAATCAGATTCATTCTTGAAAAACAGAAAAAATAAAATCCCAGAATTTACCCAAACCTATGTAAAAATCAAAATCAAAAGTACCATGATTTGTACTAATCCTCGACACCCACCTGTGCCACTGCCAGATGCCACATATACATCAAGAGATATTATTTAATTTAATTCTAATTTTAATTTAATACTTTCTTGGTCCCCTTTCTAGCAAAAGCTGTTTCATCCCTGTATATCTTTGAAAAATTCATATATATATATATATATATATATATATATATATATATATATATATATACATAAATATATACATACACATATACGTACACAGACACATGTTAGTAGTACCACAGAGCCATTACAAAATCTGTGGGTCAATCGGTGTGTGTGTGTGTGTGTGTGGTTTTTTGTTTTGCAGCTCGTGATTGAGATTGAAAAGTTGAAAAAAAAAAAAAAAACCCAATTGAAAAAGAAATAAAGCAAGATCGGTGGCAAGTGTTCTTTCCGTTGTCAAGTTTTGGGCTTTTTTATGCACTTACAATAAAGATTGGATTTTTTTTGTTTCTAATACCATTTTAGCCCAGAAGATTTCTTGCAATAATTTCTCCTTACAACGATTCTTGAATTCTGAATTGGGTCTCTCTCTCTCTCTCTCTCTCTCTCTCTCTCTCTCTCTCTCTCTCTCTCTCTCTCTCTCTCTCCCCCCTAAAAGGAATGAATGGTGTTGTTGATCTTGATTCAGATGAGTCTGATTTTGTAGAAGTTGATCCAACTGGAAGATATGGAAGGGTATGTATGTCTTTTTTCAGTCTTTGTTCTGTAATTACATTCTTGCCACTATGTCTCTGTTCTTACAATTAAATTACTGTTTTGTTGGATTTGAGTTTCTTACTTTTGTTGCATCTCTGTTGATTGCAGTACGCTGAGATTCTTGGAAAAGGGTCTTCAAAAACAGTGTAAGTATTAAATTTGATTCGATTTTCTCAGTGTGTGTTTGTTTGTGTGTGTGTGTGTGTTTTCGGTGTGTGTGTATAATTGTTTTGATTTTGTGTGTAGTTATAGAGCTTTCGATGAGTATGAAGGGATAGAAGTAGCATGGAACCAAGTAAAGCTTTTCGATTTCTTACAAAGCCCCGAAGATCTCGAGAGGCTTTACTGCGAAATCCATCTCCTCAAAACATTGAAACACAGCAATATAATGAAGTTCTGCACTTCTTGGGTCGACACCGCCAATCGGAACATCAACTTCATCACCGAATTGTTCACTTCCGGCACTCTCCGACAGTAAGTTTTTCCTCACTCGTAGCAGATTTTTCCCTCGTGTTTTTGAACTTTCGATTGTAACGTAATCTAATCTTTAATTCGATAAACAAAAAAAAAAAAAAGGTATAGGCTGAAACATAAGAAGGTGAACATTAGAGCAATAAAGCATTGGTGCCGACAAATTTTGCACGGCCTTCTTTACCTCCATAGCCACGATCCTCCCGTAATTCATAGAGACCTCAAATGCGACAACATCTTCATCAACGGGAACCAAGGTGAAGTCAAAATCGGCGACCTTGGACTCGCTGCAATGCTTCGGAAATCCCATGCCGCTCGATGTGTAGGTAATTTTTTTGAGGTCTTGTTTGGTTGGTTGGTAATTAAGAAGGATAGTCATGGTTGATTAATTAAATGTTTAGTTGATAACCGCTTAGCCAAACACTCTCTTAATCTTATATTAGGAACCAAACGAGGCATAAAACTTACGTAAGTTCATCGATTTTACCAGGAACACCGGAGTTCATGGCTCCCGAAGTCTACGAAGAGGAATATAACGAATTAGTTGACATTTATTCCTTCGGCATGTGCATTCTCGAAATGGTAACTTTCGAGTATCCGTATAGTGAATGCACCCACCCCGCCCAAATTTACAAAAAAGTCGTCTCCGTAAGAATTCCAAACTTAATTCTTTTTTTTTTCCTCCCATAAACTTACTCTTCGTAAGCGTAATATAATATAAAATATTTATCGTATTAGGGGAATAAACCGGATGCTCTATACAAAGTAAAAGATCCGGAAGTTCGTAGATTCGTCGAGAAATGTTTGGCAACCGTCTCCGACAGGCTGTCGGCATGGGAGCTTCTCAACGACCCTTTCCTCCAAATCGAAGACTATATTCACGATTTGAGGCCATTGAGTTATCATCGGGACTACGATGAAATGGGCCCCATGCTGAGTCAGCGTCTATTGAGCAGTGCTCATCATAGCACGACGAGTTCTTTGGTCAACGGGTACAGCAATTTCGTTGGCTATTACGAACAAGAAAACGACTTGGATTGCCGCTCGGTCGAATACGAAGCGAACGAGATCGATTTGTTCACTTGCCACGAGGAGGACGAACACTTGGAAAACGTCGATATTACGATTAAAGGGAGAAGAGGGGAAGATGATAATATCTTCTTGAGACTCAGAATTGCAGATAAGGAAGGTAAATATTTTTTTGTTTTTCTTTTTGTTTGCATTTAGCACCTCTGAATTATTTTTATTTGCATAAACCCCCCGAATTCTATGATCAAGAATGAAAGGCAAAGGCTAACATGTACTCATTGGAACTCACTGATAGTTCATTTTCTGATCATGTTGATGCTGAGATAGATTCTAGTTTTTTTTTTTTTTTTTGCATTAAGCACCCCTCAATTATTTTTAATTAACATAAACCCCTCTATAATCGACAATTAAAGGCAAATAGTACCCCTAGGAGCTCACCGGTAGTTCATGTTTTTTTATCATGTTGATGCTGAGATAGATTTTAGTTCTTATTATTATTATTTTTTTTTGCAATAAGCACCCCTCATTTAGTACCTATGATCGAGAATCGAAGGCGAATAGTACCTCATAAAGTTTGTTTTGTTTTTGCATTAAGCACCCCTAAATTATTTTTATTAGCACAACCCCCCCCTAATATGAACAAGAATTAAAGTTAAAAATAGTACCCCTTTGAGCTCGCCGATAATATTGTTTTCTGATCATGTCGATGCTGAGATAGATACTAATTTTCCTTTTTTTTTTTTAAAAAAAGAAAAAATTAAGCACCCCTGAATTCATTTTATATACGTCTTAAAATTGGTTCCTTTAATTACAGGTCCAGTTCGAAACATTTATTTTCCATTCGACATCGAAGCCGACACAGCTCTAAGCGTCGCGACCGAAATGGTAGCCGAGTTGGATATCACAGACCAAGACGTGACCAAGATCGCAGAAATGATCGACGGTGAGATCGTGTCCTTGGTCCCCGATTGGAGAAGTGGGGTCCACATAGAAGAAAGCCCCACCCACAAGAACAGCGGCTGCTGTAACGAATGCGGTTCGTCGGACGATTTTCTCGAAGGCTATTTGTCCTCGGATAAGAATCTGCAGGCGGCTCTTCATCAGTGCTCGAAGAATGGATGTGGGACCACGCATGGCCGTTTCGAGGAGATTACGTATCAATTCGAAGGGTCCGAAAAGTGTGTCACTGATGATGATGATGTACATTGTTGAATGTTGATGCAATAGATTTGACCCACAAAAAAAATTAAATAAATAGAAATTGTCAAATACTGATACTAGAGGCTTGTTCTTACAAGGTTGTGAGAGTTTGTCTGAAATTTGCTGATTTTTTTTTTTTTTTTTATAGATTTTTTCATTTGGGTTAAATGAGTATATGTATGTACATTACTAACTGATTAATGATAAGAAAAAAAAATTAAAAAAAAATAACATTGCCTGAAAATTGTTTTATATTGTATATGTTAAATTAAACAAAATTTGAGTTTGATTATGAAATTTATGTTATTTTCTTGAATTTTTTTATTAGCTGTCAATATCTCAATCTACTTTATGTCTTTATGTCTGAAATTTGCTGATTTTTTTTTCTTCGGTTGTAGTTTATAGATTTTTCACTTGGTTGAAATAAGTATATGTATGTATGTTACATTAGTAACATCACCAATTGATTTATGATAAATAAATAACTATGTATTGAAAACAATTTTGTTAAAAAACGCGTCTTTATGAGCAGTAATATCTTTTTGAAGTAGAAATGAAGTGTAGTTGTAATTATGATATAAAGTGAGGGGCAGTTCACACGTTTCAGGCAAATAACGAGCTAATTGTAAGCGAAACTTAAAGATGGAGACTACAGTATCCAATGTATATTACTAAGGAATATCTGGTATACGAAACTAGCTAAAAGAGATTTACGAGCTAAAACTCTTAAATAATAAATTTAAAAAAAGAAAAAAAAAAAAAACTCACAAGTAACTAAAAATAGGCCGAAAATAAATATTTGGGCCTTTTTGGACTGGATCTTAAATCACATATTGTAAGTGGACTAAAACTATAATTTGAGCCCATATATTTGTTTCAAAAAATATACTTTTAATACTCAATAAATCAATTTTAAATTATTTATAGGACGATTTCTAATCAAAATTGGAATAACTAGATTCATATTTTTAAGTTTGTTAATATAATATGATTTTATTCCGAAATTCAGAAACACATTTATTATGATCATTGATCAATATGAATGTACCATCATATGGAACATTTAAATAATAATAATAATAATAATTATTATTATTATTATTATTATTATTATTTTCTTTATTTGCCCTTTTTGGGGTTTTGTTTCTTTTAAAAGTTCCCCTTCTATTGTTCTTTTCATATTCTCTTGCCCAAATATAAACAAGGATATATACATACATATATGCTGTATGCACAGACGGAATCCCAATTTGGAGTTCTTTGAATCTGCTATTCTACGCAATTAATTGCTTCGTCGGCAAACTACGTCAAGAAGTTTGAATTGATCTCCGATTAAACCAAAATTCATGAATTTCCGGTGAGGTAAAATAATAATAATTCGAAAAAAAATCACTTCTTTGTGTTAATTGGTGACTATTGCTAATTTTTCTCAGTGTTGCTTCAGATCTGTTAATGCTGGGAGGCAGAATTCAGAACCAATTTGGAAAAAAAATTGCAATTCAAGGGTGAATTCGTGGTGGGTTTCTCGCGAATTTGTGTAGAATTGAAAGGGGTTTTGTAATTATAGTCGATGCATGAAAAATGGAAGGGAGCGTAAGATCAGGTGGAGGAGTATTGAAGAAGAAAAGTTCGTCGGGTTGTTTGATTATCAAAAAGAAAGTTGGGATTAATAATCCAGGTGGGATTAATAATCCAGGTAGATTAGTTGAAAGTAGTTCGAGTGATGAGGATGAGTCATTGGAGTTCATGAGAAGGAGAGTGAAAGACAAGAGACTGAGTAGTAGTAATGGCTCAATTGGGGTTAGTGGTGAGAGGAAGAGGAGTAGGTTCGATTTGTTCGAGTTTGACGAGTACGACGAGTTCGATGGGAAAAAGATGAGGAGTGAGTATTCGGAGGATAGGTACAAGAGGGTTGACAGTAATGGGAGTGGGAAAGCGAAGGACGTTCGTGTTGGTTCGTCGGATAGGGATTTTGGTGTCGACAAGCGTAAACATAAGCACAAACAAAAGGATAAACAGAAGCAAGGTTCCTATTTGGATGGTTCTAGTAGTGGAAGGAGTAAGGGTTTAGTAGAGGAGGACGAGTCGATCAGGTTGCAGGGGAAAAACGGGGTGCTGAAAGTTAAGGTGAATAAGAAGAATTATGATGTTGTTAAGAAGGATTTGTTGGCACCATCGCCGATTTACCCAAAGACACCTAGAAATCGAGGTTTGTTTGTTGACAAGGAGAAAAGCGTTGATAAGGAGGAAAAAGAGAAGACGAAGCTGGAAACCGTGAAACCGTTGTTGAGTAAAGGCAAGAAGGCTAGAGATTCAGAAGTTGAGACCGATACTGAGTTGAAGCTGACACAGCCAAGGAAAGGGATGAAGAAGGAGGAAGAGGGATCTTTCGCTCGTGAAAATTCGACTCCTTGTGAGGGCAAAGAAGGGAAAGTTAAACGTGGTGGAACTACTGAGAAGCAAATGTTACGGGAGAAGATAAGAACAATGTTGGTTGATGCGGGGTGGACTATAGATTATAGACCGAGACGGAACAGAGACTACCAAGATTCTGTGTACATTAACCCCCGTGGAACAGCGTACTGGTCGATTACCAAGGCTTATGATGCATTCAAGAAACAGTTAGGGGAAGATAACGGTGAAAGTAAAGTCGATGTTGCCTTTCCTTCATTCGCACCTATATCCGAAAATCTGATTAACAAACTCACCCGACAAACCAAAAAGAAACTCGAGGAAGAAATGAAACGGAAGAGAAAACATGGGACGACCAAGGTTGGTAAGAGATCTGCCACGAGGGAGGCTGCAGAAAGCTCAGACAGCGATCAGAATCATAACCAATCGAGTGAAAGTGACGATTCGCCGAAAAAGAAGTCCAAGAAAATCGGAGTTGAAAATACTTCTACCGTTTCAAAGTCTAATATCTTGCAGGGAAGAACAAGTAAAGTGATAGGGAGATGCACCCTTTTGGTGCGTGGTTCCGATAAAGGGGAAAACTCGGATTCTGATGGATACGTTCCGTATAGTGGGAAAAGAACGGTATTGGCATGGCTGATTGACTGCGGTACAGCACAGTTGAGTGAGAAAGTGCAGTATATGAATCGAAGAAGGACTAGGGCTATGTTGGAAGGTTGGGTAACGAGGGATGGGATTCACTGTGGGTGTTGTAGTAAAATCCTTTCGGTTTCGAAGTTTGAGCTGCATGCTGGGAGCAAGTTGAGACAGCCGTTCCAGAACATATATTTGGAGTCTGGATCGAACCTTTTGCAGTGCCAGATTGATGCGTGGAATAGTCAAGATGAGGATTTACGTAAGGATTTTCATTCTGTTGATATTGATAGTGATGACCCGGATGATGACACGTGTGGCGTTTGTGGCGATGGAGGTGATTTGATCTGCTGTGATAGTTGTCCTTCGACTTTTCATCAGATCTGTTTAGAAATAAAGGTACTGCATTCGATAGCTAATGGCACTAAATACTTGCGCATTTGATTGTGTTTATTACCTTTTCGATTATTGATATTTTTTAATGTTCCTATGAGATTTATTACATTAGATGATTTTTGGATGCAAGTGATTTTCTTTTGTGTGTGGTGTATGGCCAAATAACATATCTAGGCAGTATGTTCTGAAATTTTTGCCCTGTTAATTATCGTAGATAATTTTTGATACATACTTTATGGATTATGTTGAGGTTCTTATATTCTTTATCGTATTGCAGATGCTTCCTTCGGGTGATTGGAACTGCCCGAATTGTACATGCAAATTTTGTGGGTATGCCAATGAAAATGTTGCTGAAGAAAACGATACAGCTGGCAGTGAACTTAACAGATGCAGCTTCTGTGAGAAAAAATGTAATTGTATTTATGTGGTTAAATTTCTCAGTACAGTATTCACCCAAACACACATGCATACATGTTTTCAGTATGGTCATTTGAAATATTTCTATCTTTATTTTTTAGATCACAAATCGTGCAGTGAGAAGGTGCATGATGTACCTACAAGTTCGAACGGTTCATCTTTCTGTGGGCTGAAGTGCCAAGAGGTATTTGCTTATATTTTTCCTTCTTGAAATCAATAGTTAGGACCCGGAAAAAAATGTCGTTCTTTTCGTTTCTGCATCATTCTGAACTATTGGGTCTGAATCGGCAAATTAGAAATTATTTTCTTGAAGAAAAAAATTACACGATTTTGAATGGAATTAAAGTCGGTCTGTTTCATCAACTTCTCTCTGTTTGAGTGTTTTTCATCATTAGGCTTCACTAAACCTCGTTCGATTTTGTGTTGATTTTGCTGTTTCATGTCGTTATATTCTTTTTGGTTCTGCAGCTACATGATCACATGCAGAAGATTCTTGGAGTCAAACATGAATTAGAGGCAGGATATTCATGGTCTCTTATTCAAAGAACAGATGTGTCGGACGCCTCGCACCGTGGATTTCTTCAAAGGGTGGAAAGCAACTCTAAGCTAGCTGTTGCATTATCTGTTATGGACGAGTGTTTCTTGCCCATCATGGATAGGAAGAGTGGAATAAATATCATACATAATGTCGTCTATAACTGCGGGTAAGCTGTTATCGACCATGTTTTTTTCTTCAGCCTTCTTTTGATGTTACACTTAATTCTTAGCACATATTACGATTAGTGGTCGATAACCTCTGTTCTTCTAGTATTTGTATAAATCTTGCACGTTTTCAAAAAACCTGTGAGTACGTAAATTTATTATGTAACCGAACAAGTGTCCTTGGCAACAGAAAAGTAATGATACTGTCTTGAATCTTGCAGATCAAACTTCAACCGGCTGAATTATCGTGGGTTTTATACAGCAATTTTGGAGCGCGGTGATGAAATAATATCTGCAGCTTCTATCAGGTAATAAGACAAATACTTCACATTGACATTGTCTATGTTTGTTGTGACAGTAATAATCATTAATTTATGGTTAAGTTGAACGACAATTTTTTTTTCGTTTCTTTGTTAGGCTCCATGGAACCCGTCTAGCTGAGATGCCATTTATTGCGACTCGTGAGATATATAGGCGGCAAGGAATGTGTCGGCGCCTTCTCTCTGCAATTGAAACAGTAAGAATAATAATGGACTTTTAGTCTCTATACACTCGAGTTGTTTAAGTATGCATCACTGGACTAGTGATTTAATAACCCATGTTGTGATTACAGGAACTTCGCTCTCTCAAGGTCGGACAATTGATTATTCCAACTATATCAGAGCATATGAACACGTGGACTACGGTTTTTGGTTTCCACAAAATCGAGGATTTACACAAGAAAGAAATGAAGTCCATGAATATGTTGGTGTTTCCGGGCACAGATATGCTACACAAGGAGTTAGTGAAGCAAGAAAATTCCGATGGTACACAGTTTTTCTTTTTTTTTTTTTTTTTTTTTTTTTTTTTTATGTCGAGCCAACAAAATCGAACTATTTTTTTGGCCATGCCTCTGATTTTGCCTCTTTTTTTTAATGGTATAGTAGGTGTGAAGGTTTCTGAATCAACTAACAATCAGCCTCAGTTGCCTGGTTTGGTAAATAATTCCGATATTAAACCATTGTTGGAGCAAAAGCAAAATAGTGACGAAGATGATGTGTTGGATTCTGGCCCTTCAAATGCTATTTGTGAATCTGATAATAATACAGCTGCAGCTAATTCCGCTGAGGTGGAAAACGAGCTAAAAGAAGAATCGTATGCTAACTTGAAATCCTTTCCCTCACCTGATGAATGCAATAACAACGTCTCTGACAAGGATAACGCAGACTCTTCAGACGAAACTCTAAATGCAGAGAGTTCAAAATCTGCGAATGTTGAGGTTGATGTGGGTCCCGCGGTGAATGTTTCTGAAGATGTGGGCCCCACTGAAGCTGTAAATGACAGCTCGATCGAATCTTGTCAGACAACCACAGTTGTTGATGAGGAGCCTTTGGAACAGTTAAAGCAGGATCCGAATTCTGATAAACCCAGTGGAGAAGACAACGAGACCAATCGTGTGGCTGACGGAAAAATTATTTTTGAAGATGTGGGCCCCACCGAAGCCGTAAATGACAGCTCGATCGAATCTTCTCAGACAACCACAGTTGTTGATGAGGAGAAGCATTTGGAACAGTCAAAGCATGATCCAAATTCTGATAAACCCAGTGGAGAAGAAAACGAGACCGATCATGTGGTTGACGGAAAAGTTGTTTCTGAAGATGTCGGCCCCACCGAAGCCGTAAATGGCAGATCGATCGAATCTTCTCAGACAACCACAGTTGTTGATGAGGAGGAGCTTCTGGAACAGTTAAAGCAGGATCCAAATTCTGATAAACCCAGTGGAGAAAAAGAAAACGAGACCGATCGTGCGGTTGACGGAAAAGTTGCTTCGCCCGTTTCTTCTTGTGAAGCTTTGATTGAGAATACTACAGCCACTACTGAGACATAATATACTGTGATCAATTAAATGGTTTTTGTTTGTTTTTGCATAAATTGTTCAGAATTTGGCTGCGATTGTTGTTAGTTCTTGGAATCAGTTTACCAGAAAGTGGGTGAATCAGTATTATACTATTATATACTTTGTATATATCTATATCATATTTTGGAATCCATGATTTTCACCCAATATTAAGGTTTTTTCTTTTTTTTTTTTTATTTTTTTATTTTTTAAACTTTATGAAATTAAGGGTAAACTACGGTTACCCCATGAGATAAGGTCAAATTATGAAAAATTCTCTGATGTTTGGGTAATTACAATCACTCATCACCTATGAATCTTCTTACACGTCCACCCTTATGGTATAATTCAACAGAACCTTTTAGATTTCGTGGAATATTCTTTAATTTGCACTCGTTTTGTGCAAATATGCAATTTCTGATGCACCACAATCTTACAATCTTATATTTACAAGCTAAGAGACACATCTTATGATCATCTTGTTTTAAAATATGAAGCTCGAATGGAGTAAAACAGTTACAACCCGAAGAATATTCTATATAATCTAGAAGACTCCACTCCGCTAAATTTGACACCGCAAGGGCGAATGTGTAAGAAGATTCATATTTAATTGGGATGGTTGTAATTACCCAAACATGATGGGTTTTTTCATAATTTATCCTAAAAAAAATATTTACAAAATTGAACATTTATTATTGGGTTGGGCTGTTGGGCTTAATGAGTAAAAGACTATTTCATAAGTAAAACTAAATACCTATTCAACTCCTCCCCGCCGAGCACCACCACTCGCCGCCGCCGTTCTCCTCCGCGTATGGAGCTTTCTATTCCTCACCGTACCTTGAACCAGTCGTATTCGCCTCAATCGCGTCTTTGCAATTCACCGATTCATCGACCGCATCGTCTTCTCCTCCCCGCCCACCTCCAGCGGCGCAGGCTACAGCTCTTCTCCACACACCTCGCAGCGCCTCCGATGGAATCCACAGCCGCTCGTGTATCTTCTGCTGCTGCTGCCAATGGTTCTCCGTCGTTAACGGAAAATGATGGTGAATTAGTTGAATTTTAACTTAATTTATGCTGATTTTTGTGTTGCTGTTTGGCTTGTTGTTTGATAATGTTCGGAAATTGCAGGAGGACGAATTGGAGAGGTGAAGAGGGTTACTAAGGAGACGAATGTGTATGTGAAGATTAATTTGGATGGTGATTCCGTTGCTGAAAATAATTCGGGCATTCCTTTTCTCGATCACATGTTAGATGTAAGTTTTTTTTGAATTATTTAACGGTTTTTAATTTATGAAGAACATAGGGTTTCATTCTGATTATAAGCTTAAATCACAAGCAGGTTAAGCTGTAAATATTACTAGGCTAAATTTAAAATTAGGGATGCAGTTTGTTTCGTTTGTTAATTGAGAAATTATTTATTTCGTAAGGCCAATCCAACATAAATATGTTGAGTAGTCAAGAAGCATATCATTATGTTTGCAGTTAGTGTTCATTGTATTTCTTTTTTGTGGGTAAATTTAAATCTGCTCGAATGCTAAATGCGGGCTTCGTCGTCAAATTTGTTACAGCAACTTGCTTCACATGGACTATTTGACATGCATGTGAAGGCAACGGGGGATATTCATATTGACGATCATCACACAAATGAAGATGTTGCCTTAGCTATTGGGACCGTAAGTTTCCGAATAAGCTCTTTGCGTTTTAGTTTATCGTATTATGAACTTATGGGTGAATTTTAGAGTATATTCTTTTCTTTCTATTGCTTCATGTGCTATTTGTCCTAACTTCTAAAAATAAATTGTTACGGTTTGAAAATTCGCACTACTTCACAACAAATATTTATCGAGATTGCCCTTTTTACTAGCCGCGTGGATTTGATTCGTTTCAAATTGGGAATCATTTTCGAATGTTGCTACATTGGATAATATTATGTACCGTGTTCAAATAAAGATCTATTATCTATTCTAGGTTCAGATTTTCAAGTTCCTTGTTCAAAGTAGGACAGTTTGACTGTAAGAAGCTTATAAATATATTTTCCTTTCATTAGTCAACTTTGTGTCGTTAGTGCAAATCTTCGGGCAATAAGACTGATTACTCATGCAGGCTTTGTTGCAAGCACTTGGTGATAGGAAAGGAATCAACCGGTTTGGAGACTTCTCAGCTCCTCTCGATGAAGCACTTGTACATGTTTCACTGGTACGATGCTGGCAAAAACTAACATATTTATTTCCCATAAAAGCATGAATACACGAAGCGATTATTTAAGCAGGCAAGGGCAGAAAATAATTTCTATCATTTATGTGGACATTTGCCATCTTCAAAATTGGTGTATATGATGCAATGTTTCTTCGTCCCGAATCAAACGACATAGTGAGATGTTGTTGCATTATTGTGGTGAAAAACCTTCACGAGGAATGAATATATTGAATCTAAAATCGCCACTTCTAGGTTTGCTAGGTGATACAGACAGCCAATCGAAAGATAGCTTAACTGGAATAAACGTATTTGTTTTGCCTAATCTCAAAGCAATTACTGTATGTTTTTCAATTTCCGTACACATTGAGCCTTTCGGCAAATTCATAGATAAAAGACATTTGTTTATTTGCTTATCTAGTTTGCAACCATTATCACATTGAATCCATGTAATATAGCTATACTTATTACCAAGTGAAATGTAACCAGAAAGAGAGGTAATTGACGTATGATTGTACATTGGAGTAATCTCAATCTTTGTTGGATATGCTTGCTTCGTGAAGCCTTAATAGTCTATGATCAGTTTTCACATGCATAGCTAACCAGAAATGCTGTTTCCGATATTATGATTAATGTTGGTATATTCTGTAAAAATATTCTCCTTTTGAATTTGTTTTATAGGATTTATCTGGAAGGCCACATTTGAGTTATGATTTGAACATACCGACCGAGAGAGTTGGAACTTACGATACACAGGTACTTTGTGCTCTATATGTACTTGACATCATTGTCCCATTCGAATTATCTTACTATTTCAAGTGGAGCTGTTACTCGGATCGATCCTGTGTTTAATAGTGAAAATACCTGCTCTTCTCTTTTGCCCCAAATCCAGAACTATCCATAAAGTATAGTCCCCGATTTTACTTCTGACCCGAACTCCTCTTAGGTCTACTGACTCTAGTCGAACATGTTGCTTTCAGCTGGTGGAGCACTTCTTTCAGTCCGTGGTCAATACTTCTGGAATGACACTACACATACGACAGGTAAAATATTCTTCTCAACTCTCAAACCGTTCGTATACATTGTTAGGGGTAGCTAGTTGAAAGTTTGATACCGTCTAGTAGACGTTTATGTTGGTAAAAATTGAATGCAATCAATTAGTTCCCTACATTTACCACACCGACCTGGACATTTGTGTTTGCCCTCAAGTCGGTAAACTACTTCGTCGAGGAAATATGCCACTACCATTTGCTTCCGGACAAGTAGCCCCTTTACAGAAAATCTCTTCAAAATACTCCCTCTGTTTTCGTAAATCCAACAGTAACTGACAAAGTTACCCTTCAACCCTACCAATATCGACCGCCTTTTTTTTTTTTAATAATTAAAATGTGGATTTTATTTCATAAATAAATGATAGTATTATAGGAACCGACCCTTAAGGTTGCATCAAAGAAGATCAAGCCTAAGAGTCAATGTACTAACTTCGGTAAATCGATTTTGTCTAAATAACTCAAGCTATTGATGATGTGTGTGTGCCCAATCCACAAGATTATCCGCTATGGTATTCTTCTGTCTATAAAAAATTCAAGAGATTCCAATACTCGGAAGACAATCTCGAACAATGTACTCTAATTCCCAATCACTCCCTTTGGCATTCTCGAACAGCCTTAATAGCCAGCACCGAATCACATTCAATGTACACTCCTGATAACCGTAAGATTGAGCACAAACGTAAGCAATCTCTTAAGAGCCATTGATTCCGCTCTGTCGAGCCAATACCAGTCTGATAACGGGTTCTTAGGAAGTAAATATGATATTAGATTGCACAAAATAGTATATCCAAGTCGTAATACCACGAAGTAAACAATCCCATAGTGTGTAATTTCATTCAATTGGATATCTGAATTAATGTATATTCGGATTGAAACTACATAGCTTGCTGGGAAAAACTCGCACCACATTATAGAAGCAACCTTCAAGGCCTTTGCAAGGGCTCTTCGTCAAGCCACCGAATACGATCCTCGTCGTCGTGGAAGTGTGCCTAGGTTTGTTGTATTCATTATGGTTATTATGGTAATACTGCAAAATTGTATTCATTACGATAAAGCGTAACATCGACGTTTCTCGATTTGTAGCTCGAAAGGCGTCCTGTCACGAACTTGATATACTTCCATCAATTCTACCGAAAAGAATCTGCAATAAGGTTTGCCTTCGTTTCGTCTATACTATATATCATAGTTTGCAGCCATTTTCATGCATTAAATTAAAACATCATTGTTGTAACATATTTTGCTGTGGTATAAGCACATTTGGAGTTGCTCTCTTTTTACATAGCTATAACAAATTTAAATTGTCTACCTTGAGAACATTTTCTTTTAATTTAATTTAATTTAATTAAATGTTAGATGTTTACACCTAGATTTCAACAAAACAAAAGAAAGTCCTATTAAGATTCTAGGACTTATAGCACACTGAGTTTAAATGCTGTTTAATCTTGAAGGCAAATTACGGCCACCTTTCAGGTAAGCTCAAATTAAAAAATACCCCTCAATTTTGGATAATTACAATCACCCATCAACTATGTATTGTCTTAAAGAAAAATACTCTCGTTCAGTAGTTAAATTTGATACCGTAAAGGTGGACGTGTAAGATAATGTATAGTTGAGGGGTCGTTGTAATTACCCATACATGAAAGATTTTTTCACAATTTGACATACCTCATTGTGGCTGTAATTTGTCCTAATCTTAATCATTACATCCATTAATTGTGTAATGTAACTAAAAAAACCAAGACTTGGAGGCACGTGCAATTTGATAGGACAAGGTCAAAGTAGTAATTTTGGTGAGTTGAGCAGAGCATCCAAAGACTCCACTCACCTCCCCCGAGTCAGCGCACTTTAGTACTGTTTCAGATAATCAGATTTTGCAGGTGCGCATGCCTCTTCATCTGTTCATCTCTTTTTTAGGGTATGGACTCTGAAATTATTACATCAACACTTCTGTCTTTTTTATTTATTTATTTTTAATATAATAATAAATTAATAATGTCCTTTTCTTTATATATACATATACGATAATAAAACAAAGTTAAGAGATCAAAAATTGAAAAACAAAAAGAAACTTTTGTATATACTACTTCAAAAATTAATTATTAATGTACAACTACCTTAAGATATTTCTAATAAATAACTATATATTCATTGGGTTTTTGTTTGATAACTTTATTCTGCAAGATATTTTAAATTCTTAGCTTGGATCTTTTTGAGCTATTGTTTTATAGATTTCAAATCAACTTTTGATATCTTCAAAATTTTCATGAAAAAGACTCAAAAGTAACTTAGAGGGTGTTTGGCTAAACTTATAAGCTGTTAAAAAGAGCTTATAAGATGGTTAAGAGGCTTATGCATGCGAGTTGTAGCCTGCAATCTGAAGTGAGAATGGGTTTTTGGGGTTAGCTCACCCTTGTGGGTTTTTGCGTTCAAAATTTTCATGAAAAAAACTCGAAACGAAACTCAGAGGATTTTAGCTAAGCTTATAAACTGTTAAAAAAAGTTTATAAGATGTTTAAGAGGCTGGCATGCGAGTTGTAGCTTGCAATCTCAAGTGAGTATGGGTTTTTGGGGTTAACTCACCCTTGTAGGATCGCGACCCTTTGTCCGGGCCGTTGTAGCACGTCTGTCGCCCAGGGCATAAGTGGCATGATGTTTATAAGTTATTTCAAAGTGTTTGGTAATTTTAAAAAAAAATGTCTTAAATATTCAAAAAAGAAATCTGTTTGCGAGCAAATAAGAATTTTAAACAAAAAATACATTTATCCCGCCTTTTTGTATTTTGAGATCTTATAATGAACTAAAATAGCTTATAAGCTCATTATTCACATTAAAAAATAATTTAAAAAATGAGACGTAACAACTTATCAGTTCTTAAAACAACTTATGAAATATAGAAGTATATTAATTGTTGAAAATAAGCTTAGTCAAACGGACCCATAAATTACATGTTGAAAAGAGTCTCGAGAAGAAATAAATATATAAGATAGATGTTACCTAACCATTCAATTATTTTCTTTGTTTGGGGTTTACATTATTATTCTTAGGGCAAAGTACAGTTTACACCCCTGAACTATAGGGGTTGTACCAGTTTGCCCCCTTGAACTACAAAACGTCCCAAATACCCCCCTATATTTAAATTTTGTTTGTAAATGCTGATGTGGCACTTTGACTTTTTGATTTCTAGCTACTTTTTAAACATTTGGACATTTTGTGACTACTTTGCCCCTCTATTCAATTATATATATATATATATATATATATATATATATATATATATATATATATATATATATATATATTAAATTTTTTTCACTAATTTTTTTTTTATTTTGTCAAGTTTTTTTGCTCCATATTTTCGGGTTTATTTTCTCGTATTTCCGTTTTTCTTCTCATTATTAACCACTAAAAGGACACTGTTTTTTTCTTCTAAAATTTATTAAAATGTCGAGTAACAGCTCAAATACACAAAATTTTTGTACTACGTGGTACAAGACATCTTATAATGCACGAAAATCACCCCAAAAGTTATGCATTTAATTAAGGGCATAAACAAAAAATGCACAAAATTGAACAAAAGGACAATTAGCAAACATATTGAATCCAAAAAATCCATAAATTTACTTCGTCACAAATTCATAACAAAATCGACAAATACAACACGTATTAATTATATAATTATTAAGTTTCTTACAACAAACCCCCAAGGGCAGAAAAGTAATTGCACATTTAAATTAAAAGTGTTAATAATTTAGTGGTTGACCATAAACTCGAGGGGGGTATTTGGGACGTTTTTTAGTTCAGGGGGCCAAACTGGTACAACCCTTATAGTTCAGGGGTGTAAACTGTACTTGCCCATATTCTTATCCACATCATATTTTTTCCCCCAATAAGTGAGAAATTGGAATGAGAATAGAGGACTGTTTGGGTAAACAATACCTAACCTATATATATAATATATAATATATATGTCTACATAGAGTCTTTGAAGTCCGGCCGGCAAACGTCTTTACTTTATCTGACTGCGATCACGTGGTGGTCAGTGGGTTGGGCCACCACCACCACCACCACCACCGCCACGCCCCCACCACTTTTTCCAGCTTTTCAGCCTTAATTTTTACTTTTCTCTCTCTCTCTCTCTCTTCGGTTTCCGCGAAAGCTTTTTCTTTCTTTATTTCAATTATTTATCTCACTATCCAAACATCCCCCAAACATCTCTTTCTTCTGAAAATTTATTTTTTCAATTTAATTTAAGGTTTGGATGGAATTATGTAGAGTTAAAAGTATTTTGTACTGGATTTAATTAGATTTCAATTTTTGAATTTAAAAAAATTCTAATGATTCTTTTGGTAAATGTCATGATTCATTGCTTAATTGAACTTTATTTAATTTGATTTGATGTTTAATTAATTCAATTATTTAATTGAAGACGTGAATGAATAGATCCATATAAAGTTTACATATATCTAATAAAATGATTTATCAATACTGAAGAGATAAAAAAGTATTCATAGTACATCAGTCACATATTCTGTGGTCTGTAGTCGAGAAACAAATTAAGTGGTTATAAACAAAAATCATATTGAATTTATTATATTTTGTGATTATTATATTTATGCCGACTGAAATATAGTATCATAAGTTTAAAAAATATATATATATAATATCAAAGTGATACTATTGATATTTGATAGCACTAGCAACCAATATTTCATTTTAATTTGGGCTCGCAATTGGGCCATATGAGTCGAGTTTTATTGGTTCAAATTCACATGCTATCGGGCCTAATTATTATAGACTCAAGTTCATATATCATTGAGCATCATTATTATAGGATCAAATTATGTTCATGTAATTTTTCGAGTTTCGAGTTTATATCGGCTTATATTTAACAATATATTAATTATGTGTTTTACAACAGTACACCTGAACGTGTTAAAAAAAAAACACCTAAAGAGCAAAATCTAGAATATTCATGAATAACAAAATAGGATAAAAATCATAGACAAATAAATTTTAATAAGTTTTGGTGGATATCTTTTTACTTGATTCTTATTTGATTACTATTACCGCCATCACTTAATTCCTTTTATTTTTCATTCTTACAAAATAAAATAATATAATACAATTGTAACTTGTACTTTAGGTCATATCATTACAATAATAAATTATATATATAGTTATTAACTTAATCGGGTGGAACTTAATTGGGTTGAGCCGTAATAAGCTCAAACTCGACCCGACTAACTAAAATTAGACTCAACTTAAATATAATTGGGGCGAGTCATTAGACTTTAGTTAGCTCCGACTCAATTTCCGGTCCTAAATTTATATTGTAGTATGGTTTATACTATTTGCAAACATAGGCCTCTAGGAAATGTATTCCAAAGAATAAATAAATATATTACGTATTTAATACACAGAAGAACTAATTAAATAATAATAAATATCTAGTACATAAAAAAAAACAGACAAAAACACTTGAAATAAAAAAAGAAAAGAAAATATCAATACGACATTCTTCAACAAGTGACTGACATTCTTCACTGAAAGTAAACTGTAACAAAATACCTGTATAACTGTATTTTACAATGCGCACCAACCAATACCAGCTCACGTTAGCCTCCACCACCTCCTCCCCCCGGTTTCCCACTGTCACCCTCATATTCGTCCACGTCATCAATCTCCGTACTCCCCTACCCCTTCCCTTCACGTTACCTTAACTTTATCTCCCCACCACCAACACTTTCTCACTCCTCCCTCTCTCTCTCTCTAGAATTTTCTCCTAGGGTTCAAAATTTCACCCCCCCACACACACACACACACCCGGGTTTTCTCTCTCTCGACTCAAAACTCAATTCCCTCCATCTCACAATGGGTTCGCTCCCCGATCCAGGCGAGTTGACTCACCCTCCGCCGCCGCCGCCGAGTTTCGACGATTTCCAGCGCCAAACCTCGCTGATGACGAGCTGCACCCTCCTCTGGAAGGAACTCTCCGACCACTTCTCCTCCCTGGAGCAGGACATCATAAAAAAATCCGACGATCTCAAGGCCAAGCTCCAAGCCTTGAACAACGAGACTCAGCAGTCTCTGCAAGCCCTAGAAACTCGCGAGTCGTCCATCTCGAAATCCATGGCGATCGTCTTCGACAACCTCGAGAAGACGGCGAAAATGTCCGTCTCGTTCTCCGTTCCGTCCGCCGCCGCCGACGACGCTCAAATTGAGGAGCCGGAGGTCGACGACACCGAAGGCCTGTTGATGAAATTGAGAAGCTTCTGCCACAAAATGGCGGCCAAGCAGTTCTGGGTGTTCGTCACCTCCAGGAAGAAGGAAATCGAGCTTTTCAGATCGGAATTGCCCAAAGCCCTCTCCGATTGCGTCGATCCGCCGAGATTTGTCCTCGAAGCCATCTCGGAGGTTTTTCCGGTGGCGGCGGCGGGGAACAGCAGCAGTGCTAGTAACAGCTACGATTTGGGGTGGGCGTGCGTGTTGTTGTTGGAGTCTCTGATTCCGGTGATGGTGGATCCCGTGTTGGGGAAGGAGAGGATGCTCGTAACCCCGACTATTAAAGGGAAGGCGGTCGAGATAGCCGAGGCGTGGAAGAAGAGCTTGGAGGAGAGGGGCGGGATCGAAAACGTCAAGACGCCCGATGTGCACACTTTCTTGCAGCATTTGGTGACTTTCGGAATTGTTAAGGATGATGATGTTGATTTGTATAGGAAGCTTGTTGTCGCCTCGGCGTGGAGGAAGCAGATGCCTAAACTTGCTGTTTCTCTTGGCCTTGCAGATAAGATGCCCGGTAAATTATTATTAATTTTATTTGTTTTGAGGAAATTACTGTTTTTATGGTTTTGATGTGTGTGTGTGTGTTTTGAATTGAAGTCGAGGTTTCTATAATGAGGTGGTTCGTACGGGTTTCGATAATGGAGCGTTAAAATCCACGAGATAGTTTGTACTGATTCTTCTAGATGAGTAAATGAAAGGAAACGTAAACTCGAAGATCATCTTATCTACAATTTTTGAAGTTCTTTCCTGGATTTTTGTGTAGAGTGTGGTTTCCTTTAAGTTCGGTAATTGTTAATGCTAGGAGACTACTGCCATTTCTTGGATTTGAAGAATATGGCTTTGTTTGTCAAATTACTGTTGCGTCGTTCTACCCTATGTAATCTCGAGGGTAAGTGCATACATGCAACAAGCAGTGGGGTTACATAGTCGGAGTTGGGGAACTGTAGTTAAACCTTGAGGATGTCCACGAGGGCCTTGAGTTAACAGCAATCTTGTACGTATTTTAGATCTTTAGTGAATGACATAGAGCTTATATTATCGTGCAAAATATGTTCACTGAAACTTAATGCTCATTGAAACTTGTTTGTATATAACATACTAGACGTTTTCCTGCTGTATCCATATAGGTTCATTGATTTTCTTATGTTTTTCTTGTTCGTGTAAGTGAGCAGTGTCGTTCCTATATTCTTGCAGCTAGCTATGGTAGAAGTTCATATGCAGTGTCTCAGTGCAATTGATATCTATTTTGCAGATATGATTAAAGAATTAATTGGAAGGGGACAACAGGTAGATGCTGTACATTTTACATATGAAGTTGGCCTTGCCGACAGATTCCCCCCTGTCCCGATGCTCAAGGCTTTCCTTAAAGATGCTAAGAAGGCAGCTACATCGATTATGGAGGATCCAAACAATTCAGGCCGTGCTGCGGTTAGTATTTCTTTTGTCTTCTGAAAATTATTGTTCCAAAATCGTAAATTTTCGGATGAAAATCGGCGGAAATTGAAAATTGCATTCCAATTTCCACCCTTACCTATTCCTAAACCCTGTTTTCCATATTCTCTTGCTTTTGTTGATTTCATTGGTTACTGGTTTCTTTCAGACATTGTCCTTGAACTAAATTACGATTATACGCGTCTTGTCTGTAATACTGAATTGGCTGAACTACACATTGGAGTGTATATTACGATGCTTAGTTAATTCACTAACCCTATTCGACATTTCTTAAAACAGCACATGGCTGCCAAGAAAGAGCAATCAGCAATCCGAGCAGTTCTAAGATGCATCGAGGAATACAAACTCGAAAACGACTTCCCCTCCGACAACCTCAAGAAACGCCTCTCCGAGCTAGAGAAGGTCAAGATCGAGAAGAAGAAGCCCGCAAGCCCAGCTGCCAAACGAACAAGAGCAAGCAACGGTGGGCCAATGCCCCCAGCCAAGGCCGGCCGTTCAACAAACGCCTACGTCTCGTCTTTCCCTTCCCCACCAACCTACATGAGGTCACCTTCTCACACACAGTACCCCTCTGCAGTAGCCTACCCTGCAATGCCCGCAGTTTATGCCCACGGCAGCAGGAGCCCTTCTTACGTGTACTCACCGGAGGCCCACCCTGCTTCTCCGGCTATCGTCGGAGCTTACCCTGTTTCCCCGGTGAACTTTCCGGCAGCGTACGGTGGATACAGTAATGGGATGGCACCTGCTTACCAGCAAGCTTACTACTGAATAGAGACTGCGATGACGACGACTCTCGGGGGGGAAGGTGACTACTACTGATATATTATCATATGACAAGAAAAATCGAAAAAAAATGTCGTTTCTTTTTAATGGGTCTGTAATCACTAACCTTTAATGGTGTTAGCCTCTTTTTTATCTGTGTGTTAATCCTTTTTATTTAATTACTGACCTTTTGACGAAAGGGGCAGGATGTATTTTCTGATTGTTGAAAACTTGTAGTTGTACTTAGGTTGTTGTGAAAAGTTTATTACAAATGAACGCTCTCTACTAATACTAGGAAATCTCATCTATAATTTCCTTTACCAAAACCTTCTTGATCATCTCTTTTTTTTTCTTTCTTTTTTTTGTACAAAGGAGTAAATAATGGAGGGGGTAAAAACCTCCCTTTAACAAATTAAGACCACTTCCCTGAGGTGAGGTTAAATTAGAATTTTTTTTATCATGTTTGGATAATTACAACTACACTTCAACTATGAATCTTATTACACGTCCACCCTTGCGGTGTTAAATCTAATGGATTATTTTAGATTATGTGGATTTTTGTTTAGTTTGTACCCGTTTTACCCTATTAGAGCTCCATATATATTTTATAATAAGATGATCATAAGATATTAAGATATCTCTCTTGTCTTGTAAATATCATAAACTCTATTTTTATAAAACGAGTGCAAATTAGATAACATTCCACGTAATCTTTCCAAATTCTGTTGAATTTGATACCATAAGAGTGGACGCGTAAGAATATTCACAATTGAGGGGTTGGTTGTAAACAATATTTTTTTTTCTTCGTAATTTGACCTTCCTAAGGGTGTTGCCGTAATTTATCCAATAATTTATCCTACAATACATCTCAGCACAATCTATAAATCAAAATAAGAAAGTTGTTCGTATAAGAGTTACTATGATGATCATTTAAGAGCTTATTAATTGTTTTTGAAGAGCATATAAAACCTCAATTTACTAGTTTCAGTGAAACAGCAGAGAGAGGTAGGAAGACACACTAGGGTCATAGGCGCACACTAAATTGAGGTTAATTGGATCTCCGGCGGCGGCGATTTTATGTGACCACTCTTCCGGCGTCTCTTTTTTGTTTCTTTGGCACGTGATTTCATAGAAATTGAGCTACTGTATCACCCTGAGGCAAGCATGTAAAGAACTCCTTTTGGAGCACCACCTGTTTGATGAAATGCCGCACTCGGAAATTTCCTCGAACTTCTAGCCCTTAGGGATCTCTGCGACTTTCTCCTTGTGGAAATGGCGTTTGCACTCCTCAGAAGGGTCGCCTTCTCGAGATCATTAACGCATTCTCTCACATCGTCGCAATGTACTAAATTCTCCACTTCGAGAGCACCGGCTTTTCTCGAACACGATACGGGAAATTCTGCTACCGACAAGCTTCATTTATCTCCGTTGTTCTCGGAGAATGTTAAGTATGATATGAAAGACTGCAAAATCGAACTCGTGGATGATGCCACCTGGCATGTCTCCTCAGGTTTAGCCGATGCTTGGAGATTCAATAATGAAGAAAAAGCATCGAAGACGAACCCCGTTTACAGAGACCGTCGAGAGTGTAACGGGGATGAAAATAATCGGGTGGTTGGTTGTGTCAATTCAAATAAAGAAGACCCCGATTTTGACGAGATTGAAGATATGAGGATTCGCGGGAAGTTGTTCTATAAGCTTGACAAGGATTCAAAAGAGTATCAAGAATATAAATTCGAATACCACGGAAGGAGATTGGGAAGGAAACAAAAAGATAAAAAAGAAATCGTAAAAGAGAGCAAGAAGAAAGCAACCAAGGTTGACGTAACACCAAAAATGGAGCCACAAAAAGAAATCAAGAAGATCAAAGAAACGAGTAAGAGTTTAATTCCCCGATTTCACGAAGTGGGAGATTCTTGCGTCGAAAAGAAGCAAAGAAGTCTGACTTTCAATCAAAAAACGGCCCCTTATCACATGCCGTTCTGTTTGGATATATACGTGTCGAAGGGCTCCGCGCGTGCTAGTATAATTCATCGAGCCACGAGTAATGTAGTGGCGGTTTCGCATTCGATTTCAAAGGACATGAAATTCGATTTGGGTTCGACTAAGAATAGGAGTGCTTGTGCTGCTGTGGGGAAAGTGTTGGCTCAGAGGGCTTTGGCGGATGATATACACAACGTCGTGTACACACCGAGAAAAGGGGATAAATTGGAGGGGAAGATTAAGATTGTGGTGAAGTCGATTGTGGATGGTGGAGTTGATGTGAAGGTGATACTTAAGCAGAAGAAACCGAGAAATACAAGAAACCCTCCTGTGAGAATTCGAGATCACCGTTGAGTAGAATGGCTATTGATCGAATAAGTGCAATTGATAAATCGTTTTTATAAATGATGATCGGAATTTTGGTACGTTGAAAATTTGTTCCGTTTACCTAGCCGAGCTATTCGATACCGGCATCAATTTCGTGTAAGTCATTTTTTTTTTACCGAACACCAAACGGAATTTTCGATTCGGTATTTGGCACGTATCGGATTTTCGGTACTTGTCTAAATTAAATAGATTCTATTTTTATCATTGGAGATAGAGATTTTGCATCTGTTTCTAAATCTACTCGTGGAAAAGGTATCAGAAATAATACTCAAAAGATCCAAAAAATTAAATTGGGCAGACCAAAGAGAGAGAACCGAAAACAAAAAGGACTAAATTATAAATAAAAATCAATCATTAGCAGTAGCTAATTGAAGGGAGAGCAATTCCTCCTCGGGTATAATCTTTACACGGCAGTCGGATCTCGGATACGACGCGCACATGAGCGCGTAGCCCCTCTCAACGACGTCGTCGCTCAGCATACCGTCGCTCTGGTCGACTTTCCCGGAGATCAGCTGAGCCGGACACGTCATGCACACGCCGAGATTGCAGTCGTACGGCACGTCCAAGCCGCTTTCCAGAGCCTTCGAGAGGATCGTCTCGTCCGGCTCCACTTCCAGCTCCGTCGTTCCGCCGTCGTGCTCGACGATTACTTTGTACGCGCGGGCGGCGGTGGAGAGGCGGCGGCGGCGGAGGATGCAGGCGGTGGTGGAATGTGGCTTGGGATTTGGAGTGGTTGGGTGGAATTGAAGGGGGTACTTTGTTTGGTTGTGATGGAAGTTGAGAGGGAGAGACGGAGTTAAACGGAGAGCTGCCATTTTTCCTGTGAGGGAGGGAGATGTGTGTAGCTGATTTTTGAGAGGATAAGGCTTTTTTTTCTTTAATATAGAAACGCTTCTCTGTGTAGTTCACGTTTTCTTCTTGTTGATGAGTTTTTTTCCTTTTATTTATTTGTTTATTATTTATTATTATTATTATTTTTAGTGCAAATTACGGTCGTCACCCCTGAGATATGGCCAAATTATGAAAAAACCTTTTAAATATGGGGGCAACTATTTTAAATCCCAACTTTTGCTTACTTGAATACTACCAAGTTTAAAACCAAAATTGAGTACATATTTATCAGTTTTTTCTTACTTTAATACCAAAATAAAAAGAAAAGTACAAAAACACCCTTTCATACAAAATATCAATTATATCAATTTTTTTTAGAAATTACCTATTCAAAAACCAAATAAAAAAAAAAAAAAGAAAAAAAACCCTTTGTTGTAAAAAAAAAAAAACCTCCACCATTTCTTCTCCTCTCCAACCCTCACCGCCGCCGCCGAACGCCACCGTACGTGCTCGTAACTGCCGCGACAACCCAATTAAACCCTATCTTTTTCATCTTCTTAAATCCTCCAAAACATCTCCAAATTCAAAAAATCAAAACCTCACAAAACTTATAAAATGGAGTTATAAGACAATAATATGGTAGTATATGTGGAAAGAGAAGCCATTAAGGTAAGTATCGATGTCTTTTTTGAGCTTCGAAGTCGATTTTGAAGTTTTTTTTTCTGAAACCCGTCGGCAATTTTCGACACATACAGGTCGATTTTTTGGTCAATTTTCGACACCAACGTGTCGAAAAAAAAAAAAAAAAAAAAAAAAAAAAAACAAATTTCGACACCTA